CTATCAAATGGAAAAGATACTAAGAGGAAATAAAACATGTAGAAAAGCAAATTCTGCAAACTTAATCTACTTTAGAGTTGTGCAAAATTTCATATATAAAGAAATTAAAATCAACTTTGATTCCATACCTATCTTTTAGGAACCCCAGTGAAAAGTAGTAAATTATATCATATATGGAAACCCTACAAACAGCAGTGATGTATTTTTTAGTTACCACTACACTATAAAAATATCTACCACTATAAAAATATCCAAATAAATAAGAAATGTCTTCTCTATCTATTGTTATAAGACACCAAACAGAGATGAATAAATCCCCTTCTGTCTTGGGAAGAAGACAGACAAAAACTTTGTGATAAAGTAGAGGCAACTTTTAACATTATTAACAGAAGATAAAGTCTTGACAAACCAATACAAATTTTGTCTTTTTAAAAATCGAATATAAATAAGAAAAATGCTCATTTCTAAAGTGAACTGACCTATCCAAGGTTCTGTAATGAATTGAGGACAACACAATGATACAGGTCAAAGAATTTTTAAGCAGGACAATTTTACTAAAATTGCTGGATATACAAGTTTTAAGTCTGTAGACATTAGGAGCAGCACATGCTCTTGTAAAGCATCCTAAGAATTTCTGAAAATTCTGCAAGTTCCTGAAACAGTCATCTTGATGACCTATAAATCTTGGGTTTTTGTCAGAGAGAGATGAAGCTTAAATCCTAGCAAGCCAGATAAACAAAGCATCTTTGATGAACTCTTCTGTGAAATTCCTACAGGTGTTTCGCCAATAGAAACTAAAGTTCTGAGTCTCAACTGACCCTAAGTATTCAACTCCCAATTCAGGAAACATCAGTGAAATAACATGTCATAAGCCTATAATCCCAGAGGTTCCTGAGGCTGAGGAAGGAGGATCATGAGTTCAAGCTAGCCTCAGCAACTTAGCGAGACCCTGTCTCAATATAAAATAAAAAAAGGGATGAGGATGTGGCTCAATGGGTAAGGGCCCCAGGTTCAATCCCTGGTACAGAAAAGGAAAACAAACAAACAAACAAACAAACAAAAACACCTAATTCCCTTGTATTATGTCATTGGTTGGCAAGGGATTCTCACTCATTTGTGTTGTATTCTTATTATAGATACTGATAAATTCCTAGAGTTTTATACGCTGTTGAGATTTACCTATCTAACAAAGAAGGATTTGTCAATATATTGGTTTAGAGGCTTGATACCAGTTTCTAAATTGTATTTCCTTTTATAGAAATAGATCTAAATGCAACCTAATATATTGCTCTATAAGAATAGATAGTGAGCAGAAATTTCCTTAAGCTATTTATTAAATTCAGTGATACTGCTTCCTGCATGCTGCTGGAACTTTTCATTAGTACTAAAACTCCCTTAGTTTGGTTTCTCTTGAATTCGGTATTAAAATTTTAGTATGCATAATAAACTCCTGTGGAATTTGTTTTAAATGCATTCCTATAGGTTCTGATTCAGGAGGTCTGAGTAATAATCCAGAAATATGTACTTTTCTTTTTTTTAGTGCTGGGGATGGAACCCAGAGCCCTGTAGGCAGAATCTGAACATTTAACCAAGTACCTAGGTGATTCTGATGTCCCTGGTAGGCAATCACACTCTAAAGAAACTATTTTGCTTGAAAATAAAATTTCATGGGCTGGGGTTGTAGCTCAGTGGTAGARTGCTTGCCTAGTGTATGTGAGTCCCCTCATAAAAATAAATAAGTAAATAAAATAAAGGCATTGTGTCCATCTACAACTAAAATAAAAAATTTTCATGCCCACACCCATACATAAAACAAAATAAGAATTTTGTGCATGTATCTCTATGTTCCAGAGTGATATATATATATATATATATATATATATATATATATATATATATGATTACAAAAGAATTATTAGGGGCTGGGGAAATAGTTCAGTGGTAGAACAATTGTCTAACAATTGTCTAGCATATACAAGACCCCAGGCTCTATCCCTACCCACCCCCCTCCGAAAAATTATTATGCTAAAGCTTCTAATTAGTTGTTTATCCTATAGGATGGTCACTAAAACAAGTCACAAAGAATTTTAGGTTCCTTCATAAACGTATAGGGTTCATGACAGAAGGCATTCAAAAGAAAATATGGAGATTTGAGAAGAAGTTCAGAAATTCAAAGTGTATTGCTGTCTAGGTCTAGAATAGATGGGGTAGATATTATATAGACCAGGGGTCAGCAAACCAAATCTGGCCCATTTCCAGTTTTTTATGGCTCAAAAGCTAAGAGTGGTTGTTGTATTTTAAAATAGTTTTTAAAAAATCAAATGAAGAGTAATATTTTATGGCATGGAAAGATGATATGAAATTCAAATTTCAGTATCCATAAATAAAGTTTCATTGGAACACAGTCATGCTCATTTATTTACAGATTGTCTTTCAGTGTTTTTGCACTACAGCAGCAGAATTAAGTAGTTGTGACTCAATTTGCCAAGCAAAAAGCTTTTAACTTTTATGTAATCAAATTTATCATCATTTTTATGGCTTTGAGTCATGGTTTAAAAAAAGAATTTCTCTGGTATAAAACAATTTAAATCCTGTTTTTTTGTATGGCATCATTTTTCATACACAGATCCTTAGTAGGATATAGTCTAAGGACCAAGAAAAGCTTCCAGTAAATCTTAAACCTCTTTTAGTATTTTTGTTCTCAGTAGGCTTATTGCCATTATTATTTTGGAGCTATTTTATAGAAATCATAGGATAAGGCAAACCAGGTAATTATGTCAATGTTGTTAGGAACCAAGATTTCAGTATTAAAAAAAAAAAGAAATACAAATGTAAAATCAAGGAAATTATATAAAAATCCTGAAACATTGTATTTTTTTGTTTTGTTTTGTTTTGTTTGTTGTTGTTGTTTGTGGTGTTGGGGATTGAACCCAGGGCCTTGTGCATGGGAGGCAAGCACTCTACCAAGAAATGTTGTATTTGATACAATGAAGTTATCAATATGAACTCATTATTCTAAAAGTTATATTTCTTTTTTTTAATTATTTTGTTGTGGGTGGACATAATATCTCTATTTTATTCATTTACTTTTATGTGGTGCTGAGGAACAAACCCAGTTCCTCACACATGCTAGGCAAGTGCTCTACCACTGTGCTACAACCGCAGTCCCATATTTCTTATCCAGTATTTCAATGAAGGAAGTAGAAAAATTTTAATTGATTTCTTCTGGGATCAATGTAGTAGTGTTTAAAAGAGTTATATTCCCATTGTGTAAGCCTTTGGCCTACTGATGCACTGAGTTTTTTTATTCTTATATTATCCAATCTGCTTCTTTCACATCATCAATGCCCAAACTAGATGTACTTGCTATTTTTCTTGTAGGTGTGTTTGGCAGTTGGGTTCAGCCCATAGCATTTTTTTTCCATGTAAGATTAAAAAACGAAAAAATGTAAAAAGTTCACATAGAATAACTATTCCTATCCATTATAGTTAGTTGTTCAAAGGAGACTGAAAAAAATATTTCACTTAAAGATTTTTGTCACACTAAAGGAGTTTCTATCCTATTATTATTCTGATTTGGAGTGTGTATATATACATATTTTTTAAAAATAAATTTTATTAAGGTGAAATTTAAAAATTATATTTCTTAATCCTGAAGGGCCTTGAAACAATGACAATACAAAATGTATGAGCACTCCCATTCATTTCCTGGGGCTGGGGTTATAGCTCAGTGGTAGAGCGCTTGTGTAGCACATATGAGGTACTTGTTCGATCCTCAGCACCACATATAAATAAATAAAATAAAGGTACTGTATCCCTCAACAAATAAGTAAAAATTTTAAAATACATTCATTTCCTAAGTTAATTAATAAGTATAATCAGATTGCAATAAAGGTTTTTTTCTGGTTTTCTCTCCTCAGGATCCCCAACCACCCAAATACACAAGTTGTTCATATAAAAAGTAAACACACGATAACTAGAAGACATTAGAAAAAAGAAGAGCAAATAATGGTCACCAGCACTCAGATTAATAGAAATGTTTTTAAAAGCCTCAATGATTAATACAGTGTGGTACTAGCACATAAAAGGGAAACAGACAAACAGAACAAGAATTGGAAAAATCTAGAAATATACTCTAAAATATGCAGGGGTTTAGACTAAAGGTTCTTCTCAAATTGGTGGGGCAAAGATAAACTATTCCACAATTTTTATTGGGACTGCTAAGTAGTCATTTGAAAAAGAAAAAAGTTGGATTCCTACCTCCATATTATACTAGGATATATTCCAAATGGATAATATATAAAATGAAAGTTAAAAGCCTAATAATTCCAGAAAAAACATGGGAGAATTCTTTTAATATTTTGGAATATAACACTGATTCAAAATCTGGATGCCAGAAAAATAAAAATTAAATTCAACTCCACAGGAATAAAAAAAAATCATGCATGACAAAAGATAAATGGTAAGTGAAAATTGGGGAAATATTTGTAACTCACATTATATGCTTTTATGTAAAAGGAAGAAAATTATGAATTCATATTTTATGTGCTAATCTATGCATAAAGGAACTCTATAGAGTTTTAGAAAACTAAAAATAGTAGTTATCTATGGCAGAAGTGGAGTACTAGGTGGATGGAAGATAAGAATGGAAGGAGAATTTTCCACTTTTTATATAATTTGCCTTTTGAACCAGAAGACTATATCACCTATCTGGAAAGTTCAACTTTTAGGTAGTCCCAGATGTCATATAGCCTACTTTTCAGTGCAAGGAGAATAAATAGAGAAATAAACACATACTTAGCATCCTAGTGAGACAAATCTATGAATACAAAGAACTTTTTATGGACTTTGTTAGTCTTCACAGTGCTTCAAAAAAGTGAGACACTCTTTGAATAACCATAAAATTATTTTTGAAAGTTCTGTTTATATTAATATTATTGTTCTACTAGATTTTCAATGTAAGGAAATAGAAAATCAATTGAAAATAGTAGAAATTTTACCTGTAGCAAATAGTGTCAGGAACATACACCTTCAGTTCTTCTGTGACATCTCTCATCACCCTCTGGTAACCAGACATTTTTGGAGCTTTGACATAAGAAGGATTGTTTCTCATTAAATATTCTCCCAAATAATTAATTGGATCAAACTTGGTTGGAGTATCAGCTTCTGTCAAAATCTTTTTCTTTTCTAATTGCATTAACATTTTTTCCACTCCAGGAACTAAGGTGGGTAGAAGTTTRTCCAGCAAATATGCACGAGTTTTCAGTGTCGTAGTTTCAGTATCAAACCACTGTTGGGCTAAATTATCCTTAGGGAGTTTTTTTTCAGACTTTTTTTCTAGTTCCTTCTTTAGATTATCTTTATCTATTATTTTCTGCTGTATTTTCCGGGCACTCGCCTCCACTCTTTCCAAAAGATTTTTCCTCCATGGTTGTTCTAGCTTTGATTTTGGTTTAGTTTCATCTAAAGAAAAAATCATTTTTTCAGGTTTTCTAATCACAACATTCCCTGAGACTTCAGGGATAGCGTCCTTTGTTGAACTAGTTGGAATTTCTGGCTGTCTCACCAGCTTTGATTCTAAGAGGGAAAAAAAAAAAAAGTGAAATGTAAGAAATATTAGAAGTAGATTTTAAGGGGCTGGGGACATAGCTCAGTTGGTAGAGTGCCTGCCTCACATGCACAAGGCTCTGGGCCTGATCCCCAACACCACAGGAAAAAAAAAAAAGAAGTAGATTTTAATCAACAAAATTTTAGCATACCATTACAAAAACGTTTTGTACATCCATTTACACAGCATATTGGAACACCATCAGCTSAAAGTGTCAGAAAGTTTGGCAAAGGTCATTCAAACCATAAAAACATTTACTGTTACTRTTGACTTATTCARGAGTTAACATCAGCTCTGTAATCTCATTCAGTACTCAACCTGTTTCTGTCACTCTTAGTCCATTTTTTGCACTTGTAATTTATATCATACAATGGCTCTTACAGCTCCAGGCATCACTTCCTCAGAAGAAAAAAATAACTGGGACTGTGCACAGTGACGCACACCTGTATTTCCAGCAGCTTGAGCGGCTGAGGCAGGAGGATCTCGAGTTTAAAGCCAGCCTCAGCAATATAGGGAGACCCTAGGCAAGTCAGTGAGACCCTGTCTCTAAACAAAATACAATAAAAGGGCTGGGAATGTGGCTCAGTGGTTAAGTGTCCTCTGGGTTCAATTCCTGGTACCAATAAATAAATAAATAAAAGAAAAAGAAAAAAAAAAGAATTGGGGACAAGAGGGTCTTTCTCCTCTTGAGGATCTGTCTTATTTTCAAGAGGAGAAGAGCCCAGACTCCCCATTTATTGACAGACTTTCTGGTCTGAACATCTAACCCTTCCTCCATAATCACTGGCAGCAGACTACAGAAAATAGAAACATCCACACAAAAGCAGATAATCTCAAATGCAAATATAATTACACATACAGAAGACTAGAGGAATATTTAAGTAAAACCATCTCCATGGCTAAATTCAACAAATGAAATAACTAATACAAATCTAAGGAATATCATTAATAGAACAAGTGTAAATCTGTTCACTACCATTATAATTCATATATCTCGGAGCAAAGAAATTAGAAGAAATAAGAAAATATTATGAACATTGTTTTTTAAAAATTAAGAGAACTTGAATGCCTGATGTTCAGATCTTGGTTTCTACTATCATTCTTGAATTAAAAAAGAAAAAACCCAGCGCTTCTTAGAGAAATGGATGATGATTAAGGGATTTAACTGTTTTCAGACACAGCTGAAATCTACCTCTAGCTTTGCTCTTTTAAATTAATGTTTTTGTTGATTCTTTATATAAACATTAGGATTCATTTTGGCAAGCATTTTTTATAACTTTATTTTACTTATTTATTTTTTATGTGGTGCTTATGATCCATGTCATTACTGATTTTCAAAAGATATTTGCCATTAAATTCCAGTTTAAAAAACCTGAGAAAGGTTTTAATTGCCTAGGCATAAATTATATGCCTATTTCTGAACCATCCATGAGCATTCTGATTGGACAGATTTGCATCACCATCTATTCCTAGATCTAAAAAGCCAGCATAACCCTCAACTAAACCAAATGGATCAAGGAGGGGAAGGGCTGTTCCCTAAACAAACTGAGTAGACAAAAAAGATATATCACTTAAAGGAAGTAGTCAACAGCGCCAAATGCTGCAGAAAAGTCAAATGATGCAAGAAGTGGAAAGAATACATTTGATTTAGCACTCAGTTGTTTTTCACTAAACCATTTCTGTGTTTAAGAATGGATCCTAGGGACAGCAATATCTGTGGTGAGAATGGAGCCTAGACTACAGTGGGTTGAGGAGGAACTTCAAGGTAAAGTTCAGAGTGAATGACTGGACAAATTATTACAAAGAATGTGACTGTGGGGACTGGGGTTGTGGCTCAGTGATAGAGTGATTGCCTAGCATGCATGAAGCACTGAGTTCGATCCCTGGCACCACATAAAAATAAACAAATAAAATAAAGGTATTTTGTCCATCTACAAAAAAGAATGTGACTATGAAAGAAAAGATTGATTTCTTTCTCTTTTTTCTTCTGGTGAGGAAGGATTTCTCTAAAGATGGGGTTGGTTCGACTGTATTTAGAGATTTAGAGGCAGGAGGCAAAGTAAAGAGAAAACAGAAGACACAGGAGAAAAATTAGATGATGATCCTCAGGGTCGAGGAGATATGCAGGAGGTCAAAAATATATAATAGTCTTGGATGAGATGTCTCTTACACTAAACTAAGATGGCATGTAAGTTGGGAGAATTCCATCTCACAGCCTCTATTTTTTTGTGAAATAAAATAAATATCGATAAAACCAGGAATGGTAGGATCATGAGCTTGATGGGAAAGATACAATTTTGAAATAACTGTTGTGGGTGTGGAAAGGAGCAGACTACAAATATCTAAGCATATTTCTARGCAATGTTCAAAGTATATCAGAGATTAAAGACCATATATTTTCATAGCATCAGCACACAAATTATATGGCTTTTTTTCCTAGTATAACTGGATGGATTGCTCTGAGTTCCTAGGACATTGCTAGTTCAGGCTCTGAACAATAAGCTATTGGATAATTTTTTTTCTACATATGATTGCTGAGGTGATTGGAATGGAAGAATTAATGGGAATTTTAAGGTGGTTTTTTCTTTTCTGACATGGATAGAGAGGTAAAGTAGTTTAAGTTCTTTTTTTTTTTTTTTTCCTCTTCTTTTTTGAAACTGGGGATCAAACCCAGGGCTTTACACATGCAAGGCAAGTGCTTTACCACTGAGCTACAACCCAGCCCTAGTTTCAGTTCTTTTGAAATATTATCCACTGAAAATATCAGTGCTCAGCCAAATCCCAATAGAATCAGGACAATGTATTGTTGAAGCATTTTGCTTCTGTTACTTTGAGGATACAGAGAAAAACCAGAAATATATCTGAAAATTATTTTTTACTCATTATTTTTAATGTAACTAGAAAGTAGTTATTGAGACATACTTAATCATTAATAACCCCAGTATATACTACTACTACAATTAAAGGGTAAGAGACTAGGGCCTCCATAACTTTTGAGCAATGGGATTTTTAACATTATTTATTATATTTATTTTTTAGTTGGACACTTTATTTTATTTATTTATTTTTATGTGGTGTTGAGGATTGAACCCAGGGCCTCACACGTGTGAGGCGAGCCCTCTACCGCTGAGCCACAATCCCAGCCCCAACAATATTTATTAAGAAATATTTAAGACACAAAAATATAAGTAGCCATTTATCTAATCTTAGCTTACAAAAAAATTACCTAGATATTAAAGCCTCTCATATATTCCAACTTTGAATGATGCTATTCTGAGTTTCATGTTTATTGTTTCCATGCATTTGTTTATGTTATTATATCTAAGCAATATAATATTGTTCTCTCTTTTTTTTTTTTGTGGTGTTGGGGATTGAACCCAGGGCCTTGTACATGCAAGGCAAGCACTCTACTAAGTTATATCCCCAGCCCTGTTCTTATTTTTTAATTTTATAAAAATAATTTTATATCATGTGTATTCTTTAGCCTTTTTTAAAATTAAAAGTATGTATGGAAAAATCACCTAATTGATAGATGCATTTTTCACTGTTTCATAATTGTAATTAAATCACTGTATCATAATGTGTTTATTCATTGTCATTTTGATAGTCATTGAGTTGTTTCTAGTTTTGTTTTCAGGTTTTACTACAACAGACAATCCTAGTATGAAAATTATTGAATGTATCCTCTTGTGTACATATATGAATTCCTCTAAAGTGTATTATTAAGATTTTATTTGCAGGGGTGCTATGGTTTGAATGTTTGTTTCCCTTCAAAATTCATACATTGGGCTGGGGTTGTAGCTCAATGGTAGAGCGCTTGCCTAGCACATGTGGGGCACTGTATTTGATCCTCAGCACCATATAAAAATAAATAAACAAAATAAAGATATTGTGTCCATATACAGCTAAAATTTTTTTTAATTCATACATTGGAACCTAAGACTCAATATGACAGTATTAAGAGGTGAGGGTCTTTGGGGAAGTGATTAAGTCATGAGGGCTCTTGCTTCACCAAAGAATTAGTACTCTTATAAAAGCACTGATGGGAAATATCTAGCCCCTTTTTATTGCCTTCTATCTATCTTCTATGTGAGGACATAGTATTCAAGCACCATCTTGGAAGCAGAGACTAAGCCCTCACCAGATACAGAGCCTGCTGGTGCCTTGATCTTAAGACTTCCTAGCTTCAATAACTATGAACAATCAATTTATTATGTTTATAAATTATTCTGTCTATAGTATTTTATTATAGCAACAGAAATGGACTAAAACACAGGGTCATAGGTATAAGCATTTTCATTAGTTCAATGAGATATTATTAAATTATTTTCTAGAGTGACTGGTACCAATTTAGAAGATCACCAATAAGAGTAAGAATGAAGCAGTAGTTTTTGAAATATGCTTCTTAGGATCCTGAGAAGGAGCTTCAAAGACCATAGGACTGTAAGTAACTTGTACCCTTTGTGACCAGAGCACCTGTGCTCCAATTATTTTTCATAATTGGAGAGCATAATAATATTTAATTTGGAAAAAAGGTTTTGCTGCCTTAAAATTATCTAAAAACCAAGGCTGGAGTTATGGCTCAGTGGTAGAGYAGTAGCCTAGTATGTGTGAGGCCTTGGGTTCGATCCTCAGCACCACATAAAAATAGATAAATAAAATAAAAGTATTGTGTCTAACTATAATTTAAAAATAAAATATTAAAAAAAGTTATTTAAAAACCAATACTCTGGGGCTGGGGTTGTAGCTCAGTGGTACAGCACTTGCTTAGCATGTGTGAGGCACTGGGTTCTATTTTCAGCACCATATATAAATAAATGAAATAAAGTCCATCGACAATTTATGTATGTATTTCTGTGTGTGTATGTGTGTGTGGCTCCCTCTCACCTCCCTGGATATGTAACAAATTAACACTTTTTGTGGAGACAAAAATGTTTTTCCCATTTATGTCCTTAAATAGATTTTGCACTGAGGCTATACCCAGTGGGAAAATGGGAAAATGTTTCCATTTTTTTTTTTTTTTTGGTCACAATATTCATTAATACACAATGCTCGCTTATTTATTTATTTATTTATTTATTTATTTATTTTTGTAGTGCTGGGGATTGAACCCAGGATCTTGTGCATGTGAGGCAAGAATTCTACCAACTGAGCTATATATCTCAAGCCCCCCTTATTTTTAAGTGTGAAAGAGAGCAATTCTTTTAAGTCTACAGGTTCTAATGTACTTGCATTTCTTTTAATCTGTCCAGTACAAACCCAAGGCAGATATTCTTCTGCTGGCTTTAAGCGTTATGCTATAGATGTATAGCAACTTAACATCTAAGCATCTGCTGTGGTTCATTAGTAAACTCACACATGAACTAGGGCATTTTCTATCTTCATTGCAGCCTGCTCTTGCTCCTGTAGTGTGCTTGGCCATTATAGGTTGCTAAGCAATAATCCTCGTGCTTGCATTGTTTTCACTAATACAGAGAATGGAAGTAGAAATGTGTTTGGTTACAATTCTAGTCAAACACTTCTCTCCTGGAACCAGCAAACCAAGAAAAGAAAAAGAGGAACAGCAGTCAATAGATCAGGATTCTGAACAAGACTATCTGAAGCTGTCTTTTGACAGGTAGACCTCTAAATGCAAGGATTGCAAATTATGGAACTGACCCAAGGGCAAATTAACTTAGAGGTTTAATTGAATATAGATTCAATTAATTTCAGTAGGTCTGAGTTTGGACATTCTTAAAACTTTTTTACAGATTGACTGATTATTTATTCATACACTCAATAAATAATTATTTATTTCTTACTACATGCCTGGTGCTATGCTAAGCACTGGAATTCTTTTTCAGGATCAATTTCCTAAATTCTTCATAGAATTAAAAGCCTTTCAAGCTTTCGCCTAACACTAATACCTTCATCTCTCTACCAGTTTACCTTCTACCATACAAAGACCTATTCAGGCCCTAAGGGCATAAGAGCTTTCAACTAAATAAGTAGGTACACAAAAGATTTCCTTGTTCATAATTTGAAAGGTCTAGCCTCATAAGGAACATTTATCATTTTCTGTACTTAGGGCATGGCCCACTGCTGGGTATAGCCTCAGTGCAAAATCTATTTAAGGACATAAATGGGAATGAATTACAATTCACATTATAATAAGCCTTAGCAGGCTCTTTCAGATGTTATATAATGTTAGTGGAACTGACTGCTGATTAAACTAGTGAAAACTGAATCAGAAGGGTCACCCAGCAAGCTGTAGAATGTTCCTATTTAAACATGGGCCCTGTCTGAAACTTAGGTACCTTGTCTTTATTATCAGAATTTCTCAACATTTGTACATAATGTAAATGACTGCTATAAAAGAAGGAGGAAAAAAGCACTAATAAACATTATTAGAATTGAAATTCTATTGGTATAGGAAAAGGTAGTTTCTACAAAACTCTGTTAATCTTTTTTTAAAGAGAGAGAGAGAGAGAGAGAGAGAAAGAGAGAGAGAGAGAGAGAATTTTTTAATATTTATTTTCTTAGTTTTCGGTGAACACAACATCTTTATTTTATTTTTATGTGGTGCTGAGGATTGAACCTAGTGCCCCGCAAATGCCAGACAAGCGCACTACTGCTTGAGCCACATCCCCAGATCTGTTAATCTTTTTTTAAAAAGTATTTTTAGTTGCAGATGGACATAATATCTTTATTTATTTATTTTTATGTGGTGCTCTATCACTGAGCCACAACCCCAGCCCCAAAACTTTGGTAATCTTAGGTTTGTGTAATAAGGATAGAGTTGGGTAAACTGATAATTTAAAAAAAAAAAGATTTCTCAAAATGCAAGATAAGCTTATAACCTAAAAAGACAAATAACTAGAATTAAAAAACTAATACACATTTTTTGATACATATTTTTCATAACTTTATTTATTTATTTTTATGGGGTGCTGAGGATTAAACCCAGTGCCTCACTTGTGCTAGGCAAGCACTTTACCAAGAGCCATGGCTGGAGTTTAACCACAGTATTTTTTATGCAAAGGAAAGTATTTGAGTGCAATTTGAGAACTGCTTAGCAAGATAATATCACTTGAATTTTGACAAGTTTGTAACAAGGATTATGACACTTTCTTTGACATGTTGAAACTGTCAGTTCAATAGCAGTTCCTCTTCTTACTTCTTTTACATATTTATATATATGTAAATTCATATATTTGTACATAAAGGAAGGATTCAGAATATAAGGTTTAATAGTGGCTGATCACTAAAAAAATAAGTATCTTGAATTGCATTTAATATCACAGCACACTGTGATGTTTTTAGTAAATATCACATACAAAAACAGTTGATGTGAATAAATCAAAAAGCAAAATATACTTCCCTCTATATACTTTGAAAAGCAATAAGAGAAATTAAAAATACAAGAATAGCAAAGTCTACAAACTCTTGATATTCTCTAAGGAGGCAATAAATTACATGATATAATACATATATGAAGTTTTGCAGGTGCAAATTTGACCACAGACCACTGAATACCCAATTAAATGTATAACAAATTAATTTGATCACATTTTGTTTGGCATGTTTAGAATGAGTTAATCATTATCCTGGCCTCGTAATTAAGATCAAGCCAGAGTATATGTAAGGTGTGTTGGTGGTAAAATGGTGGGATGAGGAGGAAGTAAAATCAGGAGACTAAGAAGTGGAGTCAGGTGGAGGAGAACAGTTAAAGACTTGACAGGAAGAAAAATTTTTAAAGTTTGTGAAGCTGTGAAAATAATACTCAGTTTATAAGAAAGGCAAACTAAGTGTCAGGAAGTTTAGTTCTTAAAGCACATGTATTACAATAAGTATTAATAAAAACAAGTAGTAAATAATTGCTCTTAATTGGCTTAAAAGACAAAAAAACCTCAGAAAAAGCACCTAGAAGTTATAACTAGGATCTACACAACAATTAATAGTTTAGAAAATACTTTAATAATTATTATTGTAATTTAGCCTGGTCAAGCCTAGCACATACTAAACTCTCATTAAGGTAAGTTGAATTGATGTGAATTTAAATATTGTAAAGATTTTCTCTTGGTACAGGGTTTTATTAAATGTCTGGAATTAGATGTTGCTGTAGTGAAAGAGATAAATGTCTTGTCCACTTATTTATTGTCTATTTGATCCTGTAAATTTTCAGTTTGCATGATTATGTGAATTTAGGTAAAGAATGGGGATAGGAGTCAAACTTTGGATCACACAGAATAAATGTGTGGTCAAGTACAGTACTAAAAAGAATAAACAGGACCAAGAACAGTAATCAGCCCAAATGACTATAATTCATTTTATTTTTTTTTTAGAGAGAGAGAGAGAGAGAATGAATCTTTTTTGTAGATGGACACAACACAATGCCTTTATTTTTAATGTGGWGCTGAGAATCGAACCCAGGTCCCGCCCATACTACCACTGAGCCACAATCCCAGCCCAATTTTATTTTTATATTAATGGATTATCTACTAGGCATCAGTCAGCTCTCTAGACTATGTTTTTCTCTTTAATTAAGTAGCATAAGATGGAATGTCATAAAGTTTCCTCAAAAAATGTTAATAGAGTGTGAAGGGACTATACTTTATTTCCCAAATGGCATTTGAACATATCACTGGAATATATTTTTGTACACAAAATCTTACAGAATGAATCCCCAATGAAAATTTAATGTTAGTTTTAGATCCTATTGTGTGTGACTAGTTCTCTACCTTGGGATTTTATTTCATCTGTTGCTTCTTCTGCCACATGGTTGCTGGTCTCTGTTGCAGAAACATCTGGTAAACTCTGTGAGCCCTTTGGAAAGGAGAATACAAATACCAATTTCGAAATGAGTTGCTTTTCATCAAAGTTGCCCCAACTCTCCTGCTTACTTTTTCTAGGATTTAATGTTACATATTAGAAGCAAAGCAGTAATCACAGTCTATTTACTACATTCAYAAGATGAAATGTGTTGACTCAACAGGTCATCTTCCTGTTGCTAACAGTCATATGCTAGCAACATCATTCCTGTTGTACATTAATCCTTGAATTATACAATATTTTCAACAAACATAATTTGAGAGCATATCATAATGAAATCAGAACTTTGAGAATGCTACTTAAAAAAAAAACACATCTTCCATGGTTTGTGGTATAAAGAAAAACATTTGATCTTCACTGAGGAAACTGAAGATCAAGTTTATGAATAATAGTAGCAGAACAGCTTTTTGTGTTCCTGGTGTACTTCAATAATAGGATATTTAAAAACTCATATTAGTCATCTTGATGTAAATTCATATAACTATTTTATTTTTCTTTACAGTACTAGGGGTTGAATCCATGCTTGCATATGGCAGGCAAGCATTCCACTCTAGCACTGAGCTACCCTCCCTGATTTAATCTATTTATTATTTATTTATTCAAGACCAGGTCTTTCTAAGTTATTCCAGCCTCAGCCTTCTTAGAATCTGGAATTACAGCAGTGCACCAACATGCCAGGCCTATAACATTTTAATTGCCTCCTTTTAAATTAAGTGTTCGTCCTCACTATAGTTTTGTGTTTATTTAAACACAAGGTTACTTAAATGATTAACATGGAAATTTCTTCTTCAGCAGGACAGCGAAGTTACCCTAAAAACTGGTATTTCCTGTACTTAGGGTAATAGTTCTGATTTTAGAAAGCAGCCTTTATTTATGTGTAATTTATAATAACTCTTCACAAATAATTTACCTATCTATGGAAATTTCCTATAACTGAGTAAGTCTGATTAATAGTTAACATGAATTCGCCCTTTTCCATTTGCTATTTTGTTTATCTTTTTGAACACCCACATTTTTTCCTTCTTCATAAGAAAATTTTATCCTACTGCACTAAAATCTAATTGTCCATGACAACTCTACCTTAATAGGCTCTGTCTCTTCAGTTGAATCCTCTTTCTTTTCTTTGTTGTCTTTTCCATTTTCCTGAAAAGGGAACAGTGTTAGTAAGTGGTATTCAAAAGCAGCTGGGGATTAAGCTAACATTTTATACTGTAATATAAAATTGTATTTTAGCTGGGTGTGATGGTGCATGCTTATAATCCCAGCAGCTCAGAAGGCTGAGGCAGGGGGATTGCAAGTTCAAAGCCAGCCTCTGCAACTTAATGAGACCCTAAGCAATTTAGTAAGACCATGCCTCAAAAAAAAAAAAAAAAAAAGAGAGAGAGAGAGAGAGAGAGACAGACAGACAGACACTGGGGAGTGTAACTCAGTGGTAAAGTGCCCTAGGTTCAATCTTTAGTATAACAACAACAACAACAACAATAATAATAACAACAACAAAAATCACATAATGAGCAGATATCATTCAGAATAAAATTAGTTGTGTCAACAAATTCAAACAATTAAGGCACACTATATTATAATTAAGAAAGGCCAACCCACTAAAAGCAGGTTACTGTCCTTCAACATTATTTTGAGCCAAGTTTTTCAGCATTTCTGTCAAAACCTGATGCAGAATATTTTGACTATAAAAAGAGAAATAATTAAGTGATAGAAATGATATTCTATTTCAATTTTCCCAAGAATGTGGAATTTCAAATCCTCTCATAAATAGTTAGAAACCTAAATAAGGCCAGGAACCTGAGCAGATTTGGCTTCCTCTTGAAATGGTGACTCACTCATCTGGACCACGTAAAAATATCACCAAATTGCATGGAAAAGATCAATATTACCAGATCAATATTAATAACATAAAGAGAGAAAGAAAATGTTGATAAACAACAAAAAGTGTCCTGGAAGATCAAAATTTTCCTCACCCCTCCCCCACCATTCTATTGACCCGTTGTAAAGTCTCAACTGCTGAATTTTTCAAACTGTACTAGTGTTATTACTTTTCTTACTGACCCAAGCTGTCAGTGCTAGACCAGAGGAAACTCACAGTAACTGACACCATTATCACTTTTTTTTTTCCAAAACATACTAAGGCAATTGAATTTTTAATGTTATTATCACTTTATTAATTTTTGAAATAATAATCAAGGTATGGTAAAGTGCACTCTGATGGCTATCTAATCCCTGTGAGAAAGGTAAACAGAATAATGACCTCCTTAAAAAGTTTTTTTTTGTGTGTGTGTGTGTGTGTGTGTGTGTGAGAGTGTTCTGGGAGTAATATGAATTTTCTGGTTTACTTATATTTAGGAATTAAAATGGATAATTACCACATCCTCATTTCACTGCAAGTGATCCATGATTTCAATCAAAAAAATCACTGCTGTGCCAAAATTCATTGAGTTTGTGCATAAATGGGCTAGGTGCTGTGTAAAGAATAAATTACATTTATGTGGTCTCTGCCTCCAGGGCAGTTACAGTCTAGACTCTCTTTAATTAAAAATAGCATACATATATTCTGGAGTATTCATTTTCTATCAATATAACACTTGTTCTAGTTGAATAAATCCAAAGTATTGCCTTTGGAGACAAAAGGTTCCAACACAAAACAGCTGCCTCAGAGTCTATTTTAAGTAGTTCATAAATAATTAACATAGATTTTTGTGGTATGTTTCAACTATACATTCTTTGCTTATGGTGTCTATCTCTTGGATTTGCTAATAAGCTTCCTTCCTCTTTTTTTTTTTTTTTTGTTCCTGGAGATTGAACTCAGAAGTACACTACCCCTGAGCTACATCCCCCGTCCTTCTTGTTTTGTTTTGGAGATAGGCTCTCACTAAATTGCCCAGGCTGGCCTTGAACTTACAATTCTCCTGCCTTAGCCTTGAGTTGCTGGGATTATAGCCATGTACCTCCACACCTGGCTTCCATTTCTTCTGTTTTGTTTGTATATGTCTAGATATATTCAACTAAATAACCTTCATTGAATGCCTTCTATTTGCAAGCAGATGTTGAGGTTAAAAAAGGATGATTAAAACCTGCCTTTGAAGAGTTCTAAGTTTAATGATGGAAAACAATTCAATGAACCTTCGAAGTACAAGAATAGAGGTACATACAAAATGTTCAGAAACAAAAGGAATAAACAATCATTTTTCTCAGGGCAGTCTGGTAAGTTTTCATGTAGTAGATTTCCAAGCTGAATTTTAAAGGACTAATAAGAAATTTGTGTAAGGAAAGGGGAAAGGCTATTTAAAACAGRAGAAACAATACACTTAAGGGTATGAAAGTTCAAAAAGTATTCATGTAACAGAGCATAGTAATGTAAAAACAGTGGCAGAAGATGAGGCTAAATAGGTGATTATAGTCAATATGTAAAGAATTACTAGTGAAAGGAAAGTGACCATAACACTTGAAGCGACCAACAGATCTTTACTGCAGCAATGCAAAAGAGGAGAAAAGGGGGGTAGAAGGGGGGGAGAGCAAAGACAGAGAGAGAGAGAGAGAGAGAGAGAGAGAGGAGAGGAGAGAGAGAGAGGGAGAGAGAGGGCAAAAGTGAAAGAAGAAAGAGAGAGCAAAAGCAAGAGCAAGAGAGAGGGGCCTGGCAGGAAGGAGTTTTTATAGCCAAAATCTAATGGGGTCTTTGGGTCTGCAAGCTACCTTGTTGGTGTACAGTGATTGGATCATACAGTAGTTGCTAAGGATGTCATCTTCTGCCTTCAGGCAGATGGGGCAGGAGTCAGTTGTGGGTTTTTGTTGCACCATACCCGTAAGGGTTGGGTGTTCAGCCTTGAGKGGGGTTGAGTGTTCAGACTTGATGCAAACAGGTGATAAAGGACCAGACAGAGGAGGGTTTGAGGGCGTGGGTTATCCTGCAGCTAACATTCATTCAGCCAACCCTGAAGATAACTTAGTTCAGCCTGCCCTGCACCTAACAACTAGCGTTTGTACTTTTTTCTGTGCTCTTAAGTGGAGGACAAATGTTACCAAATATTGGTGTTTAAAAAAATTTAATTCCTGCCAGGCACGATGGCACACGCTGGTAATCCCTGTGGCTCTCGAGGCTGAGACAGGAGGATTGTTAGTTCAAGCCAGCCTCAGCAATGAGGCACTTAGCAACTCAGTGAGACCCTGTCTCTAAATAAAATACAAAACAGGGCTGGGGATGTGTCTCTGAGTTCCATCCCTGGCATAAAAAAAAAAAAAGTAAACTCCCCCAGCAACATAGAAGATGGGTTGGAAATGTGAAAGACTGAGGAAAGTGAGAAGATATATTTTGCATCTTAAATGTTGCATTCAAGGTAAATCCAGCCCTTGCTGTAGTATAGAGTTTGCTGGACATTGTCAGTATAACCCAACCATATCCCCTCAGGTTTACCTTTTCAGTACATGCAGATAGACTGCAAGCTCCTGCAATCCTGCTTCAGGATTTTCTCTAAATCCATGTGGACAGACCAGAAGTGCTTGGAAGCTAATACCTATGAGAAAAGCCCTTAGCCAATGATGGATAGGGAGTTGACCCATGGGGGGAGATTTCTGAGGTAGATTTTATACTGTTTTCCAGAGTTTCTCAGTGATTAAGCCTCAGCTGCCCACAGTGTAACCTGCCCTATAAAGAATGTTGGGCTTCCTTCACATCTCTGTATTACTTTCCTACTCCCTTTACCATTGTTTCTTGAAACCATCTTCCAAATGAACTTGTGTTCAAATCCTTAGGTCAGGATCCTTTCCCAAAACAGATATAATCATTAGGATTGGGGGGCATAATTAAATCTAAGGACTGAAAGAGAAGGAGCAATTAAATCAAAGGCATTTCTGTATATCAGCAACAAAACTTCTGAAACGGAAATGAGGAAAAACACTCCATTCACAATATCCTCAAAAAATATAATTGCAATTATAATATATAACAGTATAACTTTTAATCCTGTTAATATAAATATTTAAATATTGCAATAGCTATTAAAATAATTACAAATAAAGAACTTGGTGGAAATAAACATCCATAGTTATGTGTTTTCAGCACAGAGATAGAAACCATAAAGAAAAGCCAACTAGAAATTCTGGATATAAAAATCATGACTATAGCGGTGAGGAATTCCTTTGATAGGTTTATTAGTAAACTGGACCCAGCAGAAGAATCAATCAGTGGCTTTGAAATTAGGTCAATTGAAATTATCCATTCCTGAAATCAAAGTGGGGGAAAGAATAACAGCACTTAAGAGCTATGGGGCAATTAGGAACTTACTGAGTGTTTCTTTTCTTTCTTATTCAAAAAGCTGGCTAGATGTGATGCCATTGAATGAAATAAGGAAAAGAGAGAAAAATGGGTTTAAAGAATGATTCAATGAGTTTGTGTTTAGACATTCAAGATACCTGCAGGATTGCCTGATGTAGTTTTCAGCATGAGTCAGAAGGTCACTGAAATGTATTATGATGTATTGGAAGAAAATTATATAGAATTAAGTCCGCTGGAATATGATGGGGGGACTGTCCATTTAGAACACATTACCTTGCATTTTCATTACTCCAAGTAGATAATACTCTGTATGCTTCACACTCTTTCTCATGAGAACCCAGAGTCATTCATTTAGGKTGTTGGCTATGAGACAGAGCTTCTATGGATCTAGTTAAGAACCCTCCATACTTATTTTCTTCAGATTTGTAACTTGGTGAATTGCAGCATTTGGCATCTTAGTATGCAGGACTGTTAATCATATATGATAGTCAATTGTCCTTGAAGAAGAGGTTTCCCAGTATAAGAGAAAAATCAAAAATCATTCTGATTACTCATTCTAATAGAAGAACTGTGTTTTATTTAACTTCCTTGAGATTCTTGAACACTTGAGTGTCAGCTGAATTTGCAGGATGATGCTACTTGATAGTATCTTGTGGGACTGAGCCCTTCAACCTGTGGGATCTGTATGTAGATAATGCCAGAACCAAACTGAATTATAGGATACCCAGTTGGTGGCTGCTGGAAAATTATTTGGTGTGTGGGGAAATAAAAACCCCACTCATCTGTTCATAAAAGTGTTCTGGGTTACATGTGAGAATAGGAAAAACACTTTGGTTTGAAGTCTATGGTGCATCTAAGGTAACTACAGCAACAACAAAAACCAAACTCAATTACTGTCAGATTAACACAACTCCACTTACTAGTGGCCTGAAAGAAGAGATGTACCTATTTCTCAAAATAAATTCTATTTACCTCAGTTCTACTACTTGTTTACATATAATGTCCAGCATTTTAACACATTATGAGACTCATTAAAAAGCAAGAGAAAAAATGACCCATTGTCAGAAGATAAAGGCACTGAGTAGAACTAGAGAAATGTTAGAACTATTCAATAGAGACTTTAAAATAACAATGATTAATAATTATATTGATAATTGATTAAAATGTATAACTAAGATCTATATTTTATATATGTATATATATGTATATACATACACACAGACACACACACACACACACACACATTTTTTTTTTGGTACTGGGGAGTGAACTCAGAAGTGCTTTACCACTGAGCCATATCCCCATCCCTTTCTATTTCTTTGTATTTTGAGACAGGGTCTTGATAAGTTGCTGAGAGCCTCACTAAATTGCTGAGGCTGGCTTTGAACTTGCAATCCTCCTGCCTCAGCTTCCTGAGCTGCTGAGATTACAGTCATGCACCAACATGCCTGATATTATTTTTATAATACATATAATTACAATTATTTTTTTTATTGGTTGTTCACAACATTACAAAGCTCTTGACATATCATATTTCATACATTAGAATCAAGTGGGTTATGAACTCCCATTTTAACCCCAAATACAGATTGCAGAATCGCATCGGTTACACATCCACATTTTTACATACTGCCATATTAGTGACTGTTGTATTCTGCTACCTTTCCTATCGTCTACTATTCCCCCTCCCCTCCCCTCCCATCTTCTCTCTCTACCCCATCTACTGTAATTCATTTCCCTCCTTGTTTATTTTCCT